ACGTCCCCCCCCCCCCCCCCGTGGACAGCCTTTTTTCCTGTGTTCTTTAGATTTTGTACTAAATCAAGAAGAATTTTCCCATTAAAAAAAATGTATTGCTATTATATAAGGTGCAGGGTACATGTGCTATTATGTACATGTAGAGGGCAGAGGACATCTTTGCAAGTCAGTTTTATCCTTCCACCTTTATGTGGGTCCCTGGGAATCAATCACAGGGTCAGTAGGCTTAGACAGTAAGCGCTTTCCCTGCTGAGCTAGCTCATTGACCCCTGCAGAAGACTCTTCATTGTTTGGTTTGAGACAAAGTCTCACAGGTGTAGCTCTGGCTGGCCTGCAATTTAGAGATCCACCTGCCTCTGCCTCCTGCGTGCTGGAATTAAAGGCCTGTACCACCATGCTGCACATAAAGGTGCTTATTATCACTTTGATATTCTCATCTTGAGCACTTCTCTGTCCACCTCTCACTGTCACTTCCTTGTCATCTGCATCCCTTCTGCCATCCCCCTAGGTGGCTGCCCAGAGTCCCTTCAGTTGGGCCAGTCCAGCATAGCCACGGTTGAAGCTCAAGGCAGTCCTCACTCTCTGGAAAAACAAACTAGCAGCTATTTACTCCAGTTTCTCTTGAAGTCTTGTTCTCAAGCACCACAAATGGTGCTGCTAAATAATTAATTGCACGAGTTATGTTTCCACGTTAATTATGCCACTGTCTGCATCGATGTCCTGACTATTAAATTCTAATTCTCCAGAGCAGTCACTCTAAACCAAGTATCCTTTGTTTGGATTTAGAGATTATGCCCAGGTAGGTCTGGAATAGATCCTATGAGGCTGCCTGTTTAACCAGCTTGAGGAGAGTGGTGTGGGTGCTCCCACCTGCAGGAGGTGATGTTATGGAAGGATGTCAGGTCTCACGAGCACAGGCCCCCTGACACAGGGCCGGTCCAGGGATGGAGATTAGAGTATCGAGGCTGTCTGTCACAACAGAAAACACATGATAGCCGGCTACAGTGAAATTCGTTACACAGTGAACGTGTGTGTGTGTGTGTGTGTGTGTGTGTGTGTGTGTGTGTGTGTGCCTACAAAGAATCCCATGTTTATTTGAAAGTGGAATTAATTGGCTATATTTTATCTGGCTGTTCTGGGGTGGAATGTCATTGTGATTGCCTCTGTAACTCACTGGATATCGTGCTATTGTGTAGTACTGTCCAAGTGGCCATTTAGGAGTCTGTGAGGGCACAGGCTTCTTTCTGGACATGACAGACTTATAACAGAGAATGCAAACCCATGTCACATGTATCTTGAATTTCACTCTGATAGGTACTGACATGCTTAGCTATTTGGATTAGTAGCTGCATATATATCTCCGAACTCCCTATTAGAAGCTGAAAATCTCCTAGGTTATAAGAGCCAAAGGATTGAGATTTTTTTATAATCTGTTTGTGGAATATAAGAGCAGGCCTCTACTCAGAGCATCCATGTTAGTGAAGGGAGAAGCCCCCTGGACACCTGCTGCTAGCAATGCAGCTGTAAGAATGTGTGCACATGAGGGCACTGGAAAAACCACAGGCTTTGGGGAACTGCACACCTGGGTTGGAATTCTGGTTCTGCATTCTCTGCAGCCTTGGACAGAACACTTAACCTTTCATTGCAAGTGGGATTCTCATAAGTTAATGCCTACTCAAGTGTTGGCAAGGAAACTGGATGATATCTAATATTGCATCATCATCACACATTTAGATATCTAATCTAAATGCCATCAGATTGCATTTGTAAGGGAAGTGGGAATTTAGCCCATCCCATGAGTGGGGGTGGGGGTGGTGAGGGAACTTTGTGAAGGGAAAGCCTGCCGATTGCTGTCCTTCCCACTGATTTTGTCTTTCTGACTATCTCTGGTGTAGGATTGACACAGATTCCTCAGATCCAAAAGACTGAAATTTCCTTTCGTCCTAATGACCCCAAGAGCTACGAGGCCTATGTGCTAAATATCATTAGGTTCCTGGAAAAGTACAAAGATTCGGCCCAGAAGGATGACATGATTTTCGAGGACTGTGGCAGTAAGTGACTCACTACAGATTCATGTGGTGATAGTATTGTACGAGTTGTCATTTTCCTTCCTTTCTTTCTTTCTTTCTTTCTTTCTTTCTTTCTTCCTTTCTCCCTTTCTTTCTCTCTTTTTTTTGCTTAATTTAGTAGTTTAAAGGCAATGTTACGAATTGTTAGAATTTACATGAGGTTTTTACCTTAACTTAAAATAATTAAAAAGACATAATAAGGTAAAATCATGTTTGAAGGGGAAATAGTTAATACAGTGAAATGTAAATTATAATAAGGATAGCCACAAATAATATATATCAAATATGCAGTCAAATGTGTTGTTTTCCTATAGTTCCAGAAAAATTCTGAAAAAATTGGCAGTCCTTTTAATTCATGGTCTTTCTTTTAATACAATGTCCCTGTTTCTTAGTAAAGCTGTGTGTGGCCCTGTCAATGCTACTGCTCAGGCATGGTCTAGTTTCCTATTAGCCTTAAGTAACTAAGCAAACCATTAGAGCAGCCGTTCTCAACCTGTGGGCTGCAACCCCTTCACAGGGGTCCTAAGACCATCAGAAAATACAGATATTTACATTACGATTCATAACGGTAGCAAAATTACAAAGTAGCAATGAAAGTAATTTTATGGTTGAGGGGTCATCACAACACTGACGTTGTGATGACTGGATTGAAGGGTCTCAGCATTAGGACCGTTGAGAACCACTGCATTGGCAGATACTAACAGCCTGAGCACGCACTCACCCTAGAGGGCAGGTGGTGAGCAGTTCAGGCTTGGGGTCATGCCCCAGCAGTTGCCTTTGCTAACACGTACCTTTTGAAGAGAGCAGACAGTTCGTTTGCTGGAAGTCCTTGTCTGATACAGTGATACAAGTGTAGCACTGTCTTCAGTGGGAAATTACAAGGAATGGAAAGTTCTTTTCCTTCTTAACAGCGTAGAGTGAACAGATGGTGCACTCTGTAAATGTGTTGGCTGTGCTTTTAGATATGCCCAGCGAACCCAAGGAACGGGGAGAATTAGACCACGAACGAGGAGAGCGGAAGGTGTGCAGGTTCAAGCTTGACTGGCTGGGGAACTGCTCCGGAGTCAACGATGAGACTTACGGCTACAAAGAGGGGAAACCCTGCATCATCATCAAGCTCAACCGAGTCCTGGGCTTCAAACCTAAGGCAAGTGGTGTTTTACAGTGTAGATGCATTTTGTGGCTTAACTGATGAGACAGGAAGCTTTAAAATATACTCACTGCTACTTTTGAAGAGCTGTCAGTCGTGGTGTAATACCAAAACCTTTATCGAGGGCATCTCAGCCCATAAAGTTGCAGACTGTGTGCCACAGCCAAATTTTGGAATGTGACCCTGCTTTGGTTTTTGAGACATAGTCTCCATGTATCCCAATCACTTTTGTAGCCAAGGCTAGCCTTATGCTCCCTATCATCCTAGACCCATCTCTCCAATGATGGTACCAAGGGTGCTCTCACAGCTCTGTTCCTATTCTTAGTACTCTGCTTAGTGTCCAGATAAAAAAATTATTTTCACATGTGAGTTTCCTGGCTATGTTGTGTGAATACAGGCTGCTTTTGGTTTGGACTTAATGTACCAACAAGAGTATCTCAGAAATGCTGTCTCAATCTGAAAAAAAGAATTTTTTTTTTTTTTTCATTACAAAACCCAGAAAATGACACCATCTCTGAACTTGGGTAACCATACAGTTTCTAACAAGTGAGCATAACTTGACCACCAAAACCAGCAAATTGCCACTGTTTTTGTGAGAAATTCTTTAGAAAGAAAAAATTATTGGTGTTTCAGCTTTTCTAAATGGTTATTTTATTCTCTTCTCAGATCATGACTTAATAAACACTGCTGTCCTTCTTCCTTAGGCATGGCTTCTGCCTGGAAGTTCCTCTAAAGATGACATGGACACTGCTCAATATTAGTGTACACATTTTAATTCTGAGGGAATTGATGTGAACAAACCCACTTCCTTTCTGAGACCTGTCTCTTTCATTCACTCAGTTTCTACTGCAGGTTAATTTATTTCCATAATACTTGTTACCCAAAAGAAAATCAGTGCAGAGAGGAAGTTTCTTTTTCCCTTCCTTCCTTCCTTCCTTCCTTCCTTCCTTCCTTCCTTCCCTTCCTTCCTCTTTTTCTTTCTTTCTTTCTTTCTTTCTTTCTTTCTTTCTTTCTTTCATTCTTTCTTTCTTTCTTTTCTTTCTTTTGAGATACTATGTCTCTATGTAGCCCTGGCTGTCTTGAACTCTGCTGAGCAGGCTGGCCTTGAACTTAGAGATCCACATGCCTGAATGCTGGAATCAAAGGCACATGCCACCAAGCCCAGCAGGAAAAGTTACCCTAAAAAATGCATCAAAGCTCCTTTATTCTACCAGAGGCAAGAACCAGTGGAGGGTTGATGGCTGGTGCCTGAATGGCTGGCTGGTTGTCTTGATGGATCTCTCGCAGATGTTAGTTACCTTCCCACACAGACAAGCGTTTATATAATCTATGGGGAGTACTATAAGTAGGACTACTGCTCCATGCCTGCATTTGTCATTGACATGGCTAGGGTAATCTAGCAATAGGAGGAACTGGTGTGGTGTATCTGAAGAAAGCCTGAAGCCAATTTCTGCTCTCTGGGTCATTTGCTTTTGATGTTCACCACCACACTCTTAGTGGTTCCTGTTTCACAGAGGCAAAGGCTGATGTGTTGGAATTCCTCTCTTCCCACATCTGGAAGGCCCGTTCTGTTATAGATACTGACTCCTTTTATATTTGGCCTCTAGTTAAACCATTGCTTCTCCCCATTTGTCTCGCCAGCCCACATTGCCAGCTGGTTTGTCAGTGGAATGATTTTTTGTTAGGGAGCACAGTACTGCCATTTCAATCAGGGTGCCTGGTTCCTTATCTTCTGAGGGTAGATTGTGGCAACATCTTAGGTCAGTAAGTGTTTTCTAGTCTAAGTTTTCAAGGCAGAAATATTGGTAGCAAAGCCCCCAAAGAGTCAAGTCTAGATGCTCATTTCTCGTATTCTACCAAGAAGTAGTCCAAAATATGAATCTCTTACTGACGTATAGATCTGTATGTGTGCTATGTCTTATGTCCAGGCTCAGATGCATTGCTAACATGAGTAAGCAAATGACTGCTTTCCAGCAGTACATATTCATCACTCTTCTTTGGAAGTAGATTTGAACAAAGGATGTAGAAAGAGGGGCTCTGTATTTTGCTGTAGCAGTCGTTTTCAGACTGTACTGGGTGTTCTTGTGGACTGGCTCAATCCAAGCACTCCATTGCATAAGGCAGTGCCGTCTTGACCTGCTTTAGGTACTGAATTTACCTCACAGAATTGGGAAGAAAGAGTCCTTGGGGGTCAGTGTGTGTCCTTTCTCACACTGAACCTCTCCCAGGTTCAGAGGAGGATGTAACCTTCTTTGAAGACAACTGCATTGTTGAAGAAAAGCACGGTGTTTTTACCTATGGCTCAGGACAAAAGTCTAATTCTTTGGACTAGAAGTGCCAGTCGACTCTCCCTGTAATGACTGTCCCCTTAGCAGACACTCAGTCCTCTAACTTTTCATTGCCCTTTGAGTCAGGCTTACAGTAGGTTAGCATCACAGCTCCGAGTGCCAGGCTGCTTCATCGCTCATTTGTAGTGGTCACCACACTTGGACTTCACTTACCTTCACTTCAAAAAAATAAAACAAACAGAATTTTCTAATTGATGAGAGGGGCGTCACTCACTCATTCACTCTCTCCTGGTGTGTTATTTATCCACAGCTTATTGTCAGCAATGTGTATTTGTTTGGGCTATGTATGTAAGTTTTATTTTCCAAGAAAAAAAATAATTTTGTTTACCATTGTGGGTTTCACTTTTAGCCTCCCAAGAATGAATCCTTGGAGACTTACCCAGCAATGAAGTATAATCCAAATGTCCTCCCTGTTCAGTGTACTGGCAAGGTAAGGGTGCCTCCAGGGAGGGAGGGAAAGTGGGGCGGGATGAGAGGAATGGAGGAGATTCCATACAGTACCAGGGACAGTTTGGATATAAGAAATGGCTTCCAGGTGTCACTCTTAAAAGATGAATTAGAACTCTACAGTTGGCACAAGAAACTCAAATATCCGAATTTAATATAATGGCATGTGGGTTTATGGACCTGAGAGGTGTGAGCTAACCCACAGTATGTGCTAAAACTTTGGGGCCAACTTTCTTTTCTCTCTTTTAATGAATGCCAAAAATTAGTGGTGTGATACCAAGCCAAGAGACAGATGTAAGAAATAGGGGCAAATATGCAAACAAATCTTGCTGGAGACAATGTCCATAATGAAACAGTACCTACCAGGACAATTCAGTGAGTTCCTCTCATTATAGGCCTTCTACTAGGAGGCTGTGCCAGCTTTGACAAGTACCTTCTTGGCCTTTGCCATATTGTCTCCATTTGAACACTGAAAGCATTCTCCTCTTGTGAATGTTTCTTGGTTGCAATGGGCAGCCAAATTACCTCTTTCCCGTGGTGCCACCCAGTACTTGGTGGCCCTGACTTCTGAGAGGTTTGAGGTAGGTGTGCCACAGGGTGGCTTGTTTTCTTTTCCTCTAGCAATCATTTTGCAGACTGTAGGGGTTGAGAGTCTTGCACGCAAGAACAAGACGAGACCCATGATGTGTTCCGTTAAAATTAAAACTACATTCCTTTTTGGTTTCTAGAGAGATGAAGACAAGGACAAAGTCGGAAACATAGACTACTTCGGAATGGGTGGATTTTATGGCTTCCCTCTGCAGTATTATCCCTATTATGGCAAACTCCTGCAGCCCAAGTACCTGCAGCCCCTGCTGGCTGTTCAGTTCACCAACCTAACCTTGGACACTGAGGTTCGCATTGAGTGTAAGGCATATGGTGAGAACATTGGGTACAGTGAGAAAGACCGTTTTCAGGGACGCTTTGAGGTAAAAATTTTAATTAAGAGCTGATCACAAGCACAAATCTTTCCCACTAGCCATTTAATAAGTTAAAAAAGATACACAAACCTACTAGTCTTGAACAAACTGTCATACGTATGGGACCTACACTTAATCTCTATGCTTTACACTAGCTTCTGCATTTAATAGGTTAGAATGTAAATTTAAAGTGTAGCAATAGCAACAAAATATTTATTCTACTGTAAATGACAAAAGAAAAATAAAAATTGAGCCTTGGGACGTGCCCATTTTTACTGTAAATTAGATTCCATAACTGACTTGTAGTGAGCAGTGCTCTGGCCCCTAAGTATTGCCGCCTTGTCTATTTTATTTAGTGTACAGTACTATAGGTGCGCACTCTGGTCATTTTTCAAGCCATGTTTTCTCATATGTTTTCTACTTTATGTGAGCAAGGTTTGCTGTCCAAGGTGTAAATACTCAATGGGAATAAAACTGGCATGGTACTTTTTCCTTTTCTTTCTTATCTTTTGGCTCTGAAATTTCAAAGATAATGGCCCATCAATGAGCATTTTTAACACACTCCATAGTCTTTCCTGTGGTATCAGGTCTTCATTTTTATCTTTATTTCCTGGGGCTGGGGGTGGGTGGGAGGGCTGTCATGGGGGAACTGCCCTTTAAATTTTAGGTGACACTACAGAAAAACACAAAGGTGATGGGCTGTGTTGTGCTCCGTGCTGAATGCTGTCTTGACATCCTTTCCCTTGTCCTCCAGTGTGTTCTGCAGCTGTGTCTGAGATCTGGATCTGCCCCTCCCTTTGGCTAGTGATGGGGCTAATTAATTTGCTTTGTCCGTTTTCTTTTCCTTCTTTCCTTTCTCTGGAGGCATCATGTGCTGGTGCTGTGTCTTTATGAATGTTTTAACCATTTTCATGGTGGAAGAATTTTATATTTATGCAGTTGTACAATTTTATTTTTTTCTGCAAGAAAAAGTGTAATGTATGAAATAAAACCAAAGTCACTTGTTTGAAAATAAAATCTTTATTTTGAACTTTATAAAAAGCAATGCAGTACCCCATAGACTGGTGTTAAATGTTGTCTACAGTGCAAATCCATGTTCTAACATATGTAATAGTTGCCAGGAGTACAGTGCTCTTGTTGATCTTGTGTCAGTCAGGTTAAAACAACGGACAATAAAAGAATGAACACATTCCTCACGTGTATGACTCGCTTGTCTGAGTGTCTCAGTCTGTGTCGTCTTTATTCTCTGTAGTGTTAATTATCCAAGATCTTGAAGAAATACTGGACCTGAAAGGCAAGCACAGGCTGTCATTAGTTGACATGCAAGTCTGGGCTCTGCCACCTGCTCAGAGCCTGATCAGGATGCCCAGGGGACTTAGGGATCAGGATGCACACTTCTCTGCAAGGGATGCTGAGTTAACAAGAGACAGAAAGTCAGTAAGCCTGAAGCTTGTTTCAGAAGAGTTTTACAGTGATGTTTCACTCAGTATAGAACACAGGAAATCTTGGCTCCTGTAACAATAACCACAGGTCATCAAAGTCTGTTCACTGAGTGTGTGTATGTATAAATGTTTCTAGTAGCTAAGTTTAAAAAAAAAAAAAAGATGATGTTGGGTTTGAGACTCAGTAAATTAAAAAGCTTGCATTTTGCTTTGGTTCAGGGTTTAGCCCAAGACTTATTACCTTATTGAAAAATTAGTCTTAGTGTGAGGAAAAAAATTATGCTTTCTGGACATTCTGGTACGATGGGAGACATGCAAATTAAAATGACAGTCTCATGTGAAACAGGTCAGAAGACCTGTGTAACCACAGCTCAACAACTGGTCCTTCCTAATCTTGAGGCTAGTCCTAAGAACTCAGGTCCATGCCATCTGGCCCTGAAAGACTACTGTGAGGCTAATTCACACATACTAGTAACAGGGCTAGTTCCTACCCACTGCTCCATACTAAAAATCCTGTTTTTCTCTAGGTGTGGCTGTGCGCACCTGTGATCCCAGTACTCAGGAGTCATTCATATATAGACTTCTCTCTACAACAGCAAATTATGTGATGGCAAATCAAGAGGAATAGTTACTCCATTTAACAAACAGTAACAAAAGGCTACTTTTTTTAAATTGTCCAAGTGCCTAACTTTACAGAGTTTAGGAATTCTCTTCAATTACTGGGAAACTAGCAAAATCCATAGACAGTAAGTATCCTCAGTATGAAAGTGGGCTACCCAAAAAGTCACACATTTATGGGAACAGAGGGTGTCACGCCTCTGAAGATGGTTTGTTTTATTGACACAATTCATTTTTGAGAGGCAGGGTTAAGATAGGGAGGGTCTCACTATGTAGCCTTGGTTGGTGTCTTAAGGTTTCTATTACTGTGAAGTGACACCATCACCATGGCAACTCATATAAAGGAAAAACATTTAATTGGGGCAGCTTGCAGCTTTAGAGGTTTAGTTCACTATCATAGCGGGACATGGCAGGGTGCAGGCAGGCATGATGTTGGAGCTACGAGTCCTACATCTTGGTTGGCAGGCAACAGGAAGTGAACTGAGACACTGGGTGTGGCTTGAACATCTATGAGACCTCAAAACCTGCCTCCATGGACACACTTCCTCCAACAAGGCCACACCTACCTACAACATAGCCACACTTCCTAATAGTGCCACTCTCTTCGAGGGGCCATTTTCTCAAACCACCACAGTTGGCCTGGAGCTCAGTATGTAGACCAGGCTGATTTTGAACTCACAGAGATCTGCCTGCCTCTACCTGTGCTGGGATTAGAGATGTGTTCCACCATGCCTCCATACAGCTCCTCTTTTTTAGGCTGTGAATAAATGTTTGTGATGTTTGTGAATAAGGAAAATGGAGTGGGGTCTTCAGATCTCAGGAAAGTAAAGAACTTATTTAAACCAGAAGGCAAAAATTCTGTTTTGAAGCCACTGAAATGTCACAACCTCGGTGAGACAAAACCTGCTTCACAGATCCTGTACCCCCATGCTCTTGAACTACTGAACTACTGCGTTCCCCCTACCCACCCACCAATTCTCTACCTATTACTTCCTTCAAGATTCTCTCCAAATCTTGTTTCCCATAAGCGCTCCAGGCTGTGCCAGTGCATCGCCCCTCCCCCACAGGGTCCTTAGGACACTACCAGCTAGGAGCCTTTCGAATGTGGTTTGCATTCTTTGACTTAACATATACTTGATTGCTGACTTTGTAGCTGCTCTGTCAAGCAAGCTTGCAGCTAGAACTGGGTCAAGCATACAAAACAAGCCATCTCTCTCAGCACTAACACATTCGTATTAAGTGCTTGCATACTAGTGGCATTCTTGCTTCTATATATTGATTGTGTGTGTGTTTTTTTTTTTTTTCGTGTACACATTAGTGTATTCCAACCACTTCTTGGGTGTATGCAGAGAGCCACTTACCCCTAGGATTTTTATTCTGTTCATATAAATCCAACCAGTCAAACACACAGACTACTAAGTGCTCTCTTTGCATCTGTCATGGTCCCTGATGGTGTTAGCAGACCCTAATCCCAGGTTAATAATAACTGGGATTATTATTTTTTAGGCTGTGAATGAATGTTTGTGATGTTTGTGAATCATCAGAGACAGGCCAGGAGCTCAGCCTTAGTGGTCAGTATTGTCTAGCTAGAACTTAATGATCTTTATTTTCATTGTATTGATAATCATTAGTTAAGGAAGAGTAGTTTTCCACCACGGCCCTAAAACACACATTTGTGCATAGTAAGTATATTTAAAGGAAAATGGCACAAAAGTCTCAAGTAGCAGTTAACTATGGCAGAAACTGTGAAAGTGAAAATGGTTGTCTAAAAGTACAGTGTAGCAGAAGCCCGTGTTTCAGTTGTGTACCTACCTGTTCAGACAAAACTGCATTTGAACCCCACTGGTTCTAGAACAATAGCATGCCCTGTCTGCTCCAGCTGTACTTATTACCAGATGGAGCTGTCCCAACTCTAAATTAAAAATGTTATCAGCGATCACAGTAAAAAGCCCAGTTATCAGAATCTTTCAAAACCTAGCAACAGCTCAAACTGGCTCTTAAAGGGGTAACACCTCCATCCTGTGAACAGACGATCAAATGAGGTTACTTGAAAGTCCAGGCCTGAAGACCTTGTGCATACAGAAAAAGTCTACCCAAAGACTGCTCCAGAACACTTTCAAACAAGTAAAAAGATCTGGCCTCCAAATTCAACAGAAAAACCTGGCTTTCTCTTCTCTAGCATTAACTGCACAATACTTTTAATTCTGGCTTCCACACTGGGAGGCAGAAGGGAGAAACAGCCAACTGGTGGCTCCCATTAGCACCACATCCTACCCAGTGAGATGAACAGAGCTGCAGCATAAGGACAGGATCTTGGTTCATTTTCCTCTGAGACTAAGTCTACTCTGTGGTGCTGACACCAGAGAATGCAGCCATTTTATTTCACCACCAATAAACTATGTATTCTATGGGCCATACTATAATGCAAATGTACCATCTACAGCTTGCTGCACCACAGCCCTGTATAAATGTGGATGTATAGGATCAGGGGTTCTACAGGCAGCCTGGCATTTCCAAGTGTTGGCTCCATATGGGCCATGGAGGAGGTAGCATGGGTAAACTGACACTCAGACACAGTGCCTGATACAGTTTTATTGGGTCTGTCTTTTGGGTTATGTGTTTTGGATTGATTTCATTCCCATGATTGGAACATATGACCTGTCAATACCCTTTGTTTGTTGTCTGTAACTGGTACAGGAATCTATAGTCATTAAATTAGGAGGTAGTGTGTGTGTGTGTGTGGGGGGGGGCACAGACCAGCCCTGAAAGAAAGGTACACAGGGACTAGTTCTGATAAAAAGCAGGGATCTAAAGTGACCAGCACTGGAAAGGCCTGGGGAGTTCACTCAAGGGAGCCTCTGGCTGTGGAGAGAGACACTTTGAGGGTTGGACTACATAAAATGAAAAACAGAAGAAGTCTATGATTACCAACACTGCTGCCTAGAGCTGGCTTTGCTTTTGTTTCCTTTGCAGATTTCTTTGGGGTCTCCTCCTGTAACAAGCACTGACAACTTGGAGAGGGGCAGCCTCCAGACACACAGGGCCCCCATCTTCATTTTAGGCTATAAGCAGAAATGGTTTATTTCCAGCTCCACATGCTTCCTCTCCTGTTGCCAATCACCCACTTGACTAAACACACTGTGCACATGGCATCTACAATCATTTACAGATGGGGAGACTTGATCTTCAGAAACATCAGACTGGGAAGAGGAACACCCATGGGATAGAACAAAATCACAACCCTGCAGTGACAGAAAGGGGAGTGGTCATCCGTGGGAACAAAACATTTCATGGGAAGGATTAACATTTAACTCCAGTTTTAAGGACAAATTACACCTGACATCAAAATTTACCTTGACAAACACTTGCTATGCCATTGGACAGTGACACACTACTGAGTCAAGTCATTTGAAGGCTGACTTGTCTCAATCTTAGACTTAAACAGGGAATAGCTTACGGCTACTCCACCTTTAACACTCTGTACTGTCGGGTCTTATTTCATCAACTAGTCCTGTCTCCTCATGACAAACTGGCTCTCAGGTCAGGTGACCTTCCCCTACAAGAAGATGGGGAACTGGCTGAGCTACTGGGGACCAGTCTCTGCATTTGTTGATGACTGTGCCAGAATCATAAACAATGCTGTATTTGTTAACATGGAGTTTAAACTCATGTTATTTATTTATTTATGTTTAGGATAGGGTTTCCTCTTATATTTTTATATTTTGTGAGCCTAGCCTCTTACGGCTGAGCTGTCCCTCCAGCCCAGGGTTTCTCTGTGGCTATCTTGGAGCTCACTCTATAGACCAGGGTGGCCTGGAAATCAGAGATCCACCTGCCTCTGACTCCTGAGTTCTGGGATTAAAGGCATACACCACCATTGTCCATTGATACTGGGTTTTAAATGCACTCATATTTTCAATAGAGAACCAACTCTGACTTCTTGTGGGCCCCCACAGTCAGCTCTGGCTTCAGGGGCCTCTAATCTGTGCTGTCACACAGGGTCCATGGTTTAATATTGTGTCACTGTTTAGAATTTCTTAATGGATTGTGACACAGGGTCACATTTTCATTTTGCACTTGTTTTGTATCACACCAAAGGATGGGTATATTACTGCAGCAGTGGCTGCCCTCATGGCTGAGGGGACGATGTTACTGAAGAAGTTGCTTTTAAAATAAGCAATGAGCAGGGAATGGTGATACACGCCTATAACACCAGCACACCGGGGG